GTCTTAAAAGAGAAAGTTTGGAAGGAAAAGGAGAAGTGACTTTCCATCCAGCAAATCTGGCTTGTGTCTTCAAGACATTGCTCATTAACCACCTAGTAACCAGGTGAAATCGTTGCTTCCCTTGTCTGTCTTAAGAACGTCAAGCACTACCAGCCAAGTTGGGGTATGACTACACAGCCCATCAATCCCAGGGCATACAGAGTCTCCAGGGAACCTCTGGATACTATATCAAACAAATGAAGATTAAAGTAAGAATCCCATTTTTGACCTGCTATATTGACAAAGACTTAAGAGATTAAGAAAACCCAGTATCGCTCATAACGTTCCAAAGTCATCACCCTCAGGCACATTGGAGTAAGAGTATGAAATGGCAAGGGGTGCCTCGATGGCTCAGATGGTTAAGCATCCAACTCTTGATTTCAGCTCAGGTTCTGATCTCTGAGTTGTGAGATGGAGCCACCCATCAGGCTCTGGGCTGAGTGAGTGTGAAGCCTACTTAAGATTCTCTTTCTCCTTCTGCCTCTGCCCCTCCCACCTCCCTCTCTAAAAAAAAAAATGGGGGGGTATAAATGGCACAACATTTCTGGGAACAACTTGACCATGTATCTCAAATTTTTAAATGGGCATACCCTTTAACCCAGAAATTCTTACCTCCATAAATTTATCCCAAGAAAACTTTCAGACAAGACAAAATATTAATTACAAAAGTGAAAACATTGGAAACAACCTAAATGCCCATTAATAAGGGAATCATTTATATTATGGTACATGGAAATTACAAAATACTATGCAGAACTATCATCATAAATGGAATGTGATAAAAATTTCATAGAAATATGTGTAGACAGAGGTCTATAAAATAGTTTCACGAACAAATTTATCAAACAGCTTTCTCGATAGGTACACACATATATGTATACACATATACATATTACATACAAGCATATAGTCATAAATATACTTGTGTAATGGCAGTGTGCATTCATACTAAGAAAAAATATGTAGCACATATCAAAATGCAGCAGTGGTTAAAGTGACCTTTGTATACCTCCTTATGCACAGAATATTTGGCTGTGAGCATACTGAAACATTAGTAAAAAGAATAGCAAAACTATTTAAAAGAAACAAAACAAGCCATAGGACCTCATTCCTAGCATTAGCTTCACACCCATCTCTATTGCCGATTCAATCAGTTCATGTTTCAGTCTATAACTACAAAGCCACATCAATACTAACAGCTTCAACAGAATGAAATAATTCAGCTGAATTAAATAAACTTAATAAAGTAATGGATGTCACCTTGTTTTTTTTAATTGGAAACATATGATATGATTTTTGAACTATTATCTAGAGTTAAATAAAATTGCTCATGAAAAGAGATTTCAAATTTTCTGACTTTGCCCATTTTAATCACTATCGGTCTCATTTTTAATTTTAGATGTCATTTTGTACGCTCATATCAAAAACGCTCCATCAGTTCTTTCCACTTAGTCTTAAAATAACATGGTGGTGTAGTCGCCTAGTTTGCATTTCGTATTGACCACATGGTAAACAGGTAACCTCTCATGCAAGCAAAAGCGAAAGTTCACCTCTA